CCTATATAGCTTCTGTCTGATCACATGTTCACCCTGTTCTCTCAGCTAACGATAAAGTCGCAGCTGCTGGAAGGTGGCATCCAACGATCTAAGCGAACGCTGATGGGATCAACAATTATGTGCCTCGTGCATTTCCCGCATATAATCACACCAACGGCGCCGATGCCGACGACGCAAAGCATCTTCAATGACTTAGTCATTCTAGCGAACAACAGATATCTCTCGTCAGGGTAGGTCATCTTCTTTGTTTTATATACTCAGCGATATAAAGAAAGCTCACGTGGCTGCATTGCAGTAGATCTCCGCCTGAATAAACAGCCACAACGATATCAACGATGCTGTAGTAGTGTATAAATATTTAATGCTATAACATATTGTATACTAAACTCATAATCGTCTTATATGTACTTACCTACTTTACGATCAGAATGACGTCATATGGACGGTCGCAAAGCAGGTGTTTTGTTTACCTCTGCGCTTATGGAGGTGCGGTACAAAAGTGTGTGTGTGTGTGTGTGTAAATTTATATATTGCATTATATATGGCAGCAGATCTCCCCGCAGTGAATTAACCTGCCCCCAATGTCACGCTTTTGGGTATGATATCGAATCGGAGACCGAAGAGTATCACAATGAATTGAGATCTAAAATAAATAACACAAATAGAGAGAGCGAGATATCCGTGGTTTACCCGAGTAGTGGAATGCAAGATTAAGTTTCGTAGCTTCGAAATCATATCAATCGTAAACTATGTTTGGAGATCTAGATGAAATTGTCTAGAATCCTCAAAAATGTCTCGTAGACCAAGCAGGTTCTTTCAGTAATATTATCGCGCTGTTATTTTATTTATATTTTCGTTGCGGAGACTTGACAATTTCATGTGAATATGTCGTATTTGATTCAAAGTTCTGTAGAACATTAATTTAAAATCACTTTAAGGGACATCAGGAAAAATATAAGAAGAGTAAATTAAATTGAATCGCACTTTTCTCCAACTTCTGTTTTGCACACAGGCGCGGGGAGTCAAAGCTTTGTCCCACCCATGATTTTATAGATATCATAGTTAAAAACCAGAATTAATCGTACAAAGATAAAATTTTACTCTTCGGACTAATAAAAATTCCGACCAAAGTTCTCATACGATGAGAAAAGATTGATGAATTCTTATGTGATTTAAGGTACCGCATGATGGAAACTTGGGCCGCGGGTTCCCGGAATATGGCCGGATGTGCCCAGCATAGTCCTATGCTCTGATTATTGCTACGATTGAAATCGTTTACGAATTCTCATGTCATTTGATGTGTCACATGATGGATTTTATTCATTTGAGGCCGCAACGGTAGAACAACATTCGAGCATAAAGAAAATTGTCAAATAACTATTATATGTAAATTAAACCATTTATGATCAGTGTAAATTAAACCATTTATGATCAGAAATGTTATTACTAGGACATCGTTGCTTTCTATCTTCAGATTTCACACAAGCGCAACATCAGCAGCTCATATGATGAGAAAAACTAAAATAATTCACGACGGTCTTCGGCGTGTCGTATGACAGTTCCTGTCATATGACATTTTAGTTTGGTACCGTAAAACGGGGTATCTTTGATAATGCGGGTAACTTTGATAGTGCATAAGACCCTGTATATAATGATTAAATTTACTCTCTGCACTACTTCCGAATTGGAAACATTGGTTCCATGTTGTAGTTTAGTTTATTACCCTTGATATCGTTTAGAGTTTTATATAGTATGTGTTACATATTTTTCAAATATCTGAAAAATCAATTTTATTGATTTTCGCCTGTTTGAAAAGGCACTCAAACAATCACTTATTACATGTATTTCCGATAAAGCCATTATGAATTCAATGTTGTCTTTATATTGCTAATGATGTTTTCTGATTATATACGCATTCAATGTTTCATATTTATTGAACTAAATATTTAAAAACATAGTTTTTCTAGTAATACACAAAACTAACAAAATTCAGACAAAATTATATCGCTTTAAGGTAGCCCAGTCTAGAAGTTAGGTCGACTCCGATGTTATGAATTGACCACCATCTATCAAAAACCTGTTCTCATTCGTAAACAAAACATCACGTGTGCCTGTTTAGTTCTGCAGTTTCGGAAGATTTTAGTCGGATTTCGGTAAAATACTAGCCCTTGCGTGTGCAAAATGCCTCGAGTCTACGTGAAAAAAGTGGATGCAAGAACCTATTCACGATACACATCCGAAACTTTGCAAGAAGCGGTGGATGCAGTGCAGAAAAACGGGTCATCTATTGTCGCAGCCTCCCGTTCTTTTGGAATCCCGTATGGTTCTTTGTACAATAAAGTTCATGGATTGCATATGAAGAAACCTGGTGCGAGTCCTGTGTTCACCGAAAAGCAAGAAGACGAGCTTGCGGAAGTGATTCGAGTATCCGGCATATGGGGGTTTCCGCTTACTCCGGTTTGCATAATAAACCTCGTGCAACAGTTTGTGACTTGCAACAAAACAGCCACCAAATTCCGAGATAATGCTCCCGGGAAGGATTGGATCAACTCGTTTCTCAATCGACACAATCTAGTTGCCCGGTTGTCACAGAATATTAAACGAAGTCGGGCCAAAGTAAGCCACAAAGTGATCATCGATTTTTTCATCAACCTTGCGGAAACAGTGGATGGCGTCCCTTCCGAGAATATAGTCAATTATGACGAAACAAACTTCAGTGATGATCAAAGCGAGTTGTGGTGCAAAGAGGACAAAAACATGTTGACAGAATTATGGACCATTCTAAATCATCGTTCTCTGTTATGTTTGCTGGAGCCGCCAACGGAAAGATGTTACCTCCGTATGTCGTTTATGCTGCGCTACACTTATATCCAACATGGATGGAGGGAGGACCGAAAGGCTGTCACTACAACAGAACTAAATCTGGTAATTTTTAAAATGCATTATTTATACCAATGGTTGATTGAAACTATTGTTTGCAGGTTGGTTCGACTCCGTGGTATTCGAAAATTGGTTTTTCAAAACTGACGTTCTTTATTTTAACGGCATTGAAAATGACCACCGAAGAATAATCATTGGAGATAACGTCGCTTCTCATCTCAGCTACCGTATCTTACAATTCTGTATGACGAACAACATCAACTTTGTACTTTTACCACCCAACGCAACTAATTTGTGCCAGCCGCTTGACGTAGCGTACTTCAGGCCATTGAAGAGGGCATGGTCGAATACATTAGGGGATTCGAAAAAGCGTAACAACGGATGTGTACCGAAGCATATATTTCCAGGGCTCTTGAAGAAGACTTTGCTCTCGATTGAAGCCAAAAGTGCTCAAAATATGAGAGCTGGATTCAAGGCATCTGGCATATACCCACTTAACAAGAATGCAGTGCTAAAAAAGCTTCCTGATGATGTTGATAAGAAAGCGAACACATCATTTTCCGAGCAACTGATCATTATGCTGAAGGAAGAGCGATTTGGAAAAGTTGAGGAACGGACCATCCCGCGTAAGCGACGGTTGATTGATGTGCAACCTGGCTCAAGTATAACTGAGGAAGAAGCACAACAACTACTGGCGAAAAAGTAAAGATAAAAAAAGATCGAGATGCTGCCAACAAAACCAAGGGTGGTTCCACGCACTATTTAAATTCTACTGGCACGATGAAAGTAAAGCCTACGAAGCAGAAGATATCACCTGTAGCTAAGAACAAGCGTCGTCAATTCGTGGATAGATCGAACATGGAAGATAATGATGATGAATCATCCAACCTTATCCCTGAGGTAGTTGTGAAGCAAGAAGTTGTTTGGACACCACCAAAATTTGTTAAGAACAAACGCAAAATGAATCGAGGCAAACTTTCCGGTTCAAAGAAACTACGAATTTAATCGGTTCGAGGTTTTTTTATATTATGTTGTATTTGATTAAAAAAACATGTAAGACAGATCTGATATGATTATAATCATAAATTTTTCAGTTCAGTCATTTTGTTTTTTATGGCTTTGTAATAATATTTGTAAAAAATAAATAGTTGTTTTCTAATGTGTTGTTCAAGCTTGATTCCAGATTAAAAGAACTGTACATTTTTGAATCGGCGCATTTATTTAGTACGTTATCTAAAATTTGGGAATTTTCTCCTCTTTGACACGCTTTTTCCAACACATAATGCATTGTTGGTTTCGAAACAGGGATCCTCACGTCTTCCCTAGGAGCGTAACATACCTAATGAATGGCCCCTTGTATGTGATAACTGCATCGTAGGACGTGATTTTGAGATTATGTGAAATGTGGGCGTGTATTTCTCTTTCTATCTCTATATATGTGTGTGTGTGGGTGTGGGTGTGTTTTTACACATGTTTTTCTACATTCATCGAGCATTATCAAAGTAACCCCGAATCAAACTACAGAAGTTCGGTCACAAAACTAAAAAAAATAGTGCAAATGCTTTAATTTTCGTTCAACATATTACTAACGAATTAACTCTTGGATCCTCAGAACTTGTTTTAAAAATATAAAATTTGAAAAAAAGTATTTGCTGTAAAAAAGATTTAGAATATACTTTTAAAAACTATCAATGTTACCCCGTTTTACGGTACTGTAATTTGAAAGCTTTTTTTTTATTATAGTCACTTTAACGCTCTTGGGTCATTCGTGACTTGTCCGGGGGTGAGATTTGAACTCGTGACTTTGGCGTGAGAGGTATGGATGCTAACCACTACGCCGGGGTCGCCCCCAATTTGAAAGCTTGTTTTGCAAGTGTCGGAAGCAAACTGATTATCGCAAAAAATATGTCGACTAAAGGTGACCGCTTACAAGACTGTAAGGGACACATCGAGCGAGTACGAGCTGGGCCGAATAACAATAATCCCGAAAGTGTTCAAACATTGATCAAGTTTTGCAGCCCCAACCAGATCGGATCCACCTGACTCTAGAGCCCGTCTGATCAGAACTTTTCTCACCACCCGTTCCAGAGCGGCGGGCCCCAGCCAGTTAACCGCGAGCATCGGTCACGATCAGATCGCGCTTTTCTCTCCCTTCTTCGAACGAAGCAAAAAAAAAACACGAGTCGAAAAAAAAGAGTTGAAACTGTTTATCACAGTAGTGCTAAATACATGATATCTCCGAGATACTGACACTGAATTGCTGCTGGAATCGGTGAAATTTCGCAATCCCAATCGTGTGCCCTACCAGTGTGAGTGCATTTTCTGTTCAACATAGGAATTATACCAGAGACCTGGTGGTGCGCGCGATCGTCGTTATCTAAAAAAAAACCTTGGCTGTTATCGTCGCTCAAGGAGTTCTCAGGTTGGAAAAATCTCATACTGACAAAAAAATTCCATTCCGTGCAACAAGTGTTCAAAGTTCTTAAAGCTTGATATCAAGTTGATCATCACCTTAAGCAAACTCAGCGACAGTCAATTAATCAATTAACCAAACGGGCCGTTGGGCCTCGCGGAGAGTCTCATTAGAGTACAGATGTGAGTGATCGCATGGGAGGGCGCGCGTTGATTCGTTTGCGATCACGTTCGTTCGGATCGCGCAGTTCCGCCGACAGAAAAGGAAACAACAACAAGGTGGAACTCTGTCTGTGCAACCTGAGTGACGAGATTGGTCACGGATGACATCATTTGAAGGCGTTTGAGATCTTTGGTCTGCGGGGCTAGAATGAGGCTTAAGCATACCGGTTCGCGTAGGAATTATACTGAACATCGTGAGAGACTGCGCGATCTTACGACGTAGATTTTTCGATGTCGATGCACATCATAGCCTAGAAAGAACGGCATGATAAAAGAAACAACAAGTCTGTGATTTTGCGAATTAAACACGGCTAGCAGATTAAAAGTGGCGGGTAATCATGGCAAAGAATGTACGGGAAAGCACGCTTCATGATGTGTTTGTTTTCAATTCTCTGCGTCTAGTCTTGTTCGAAGGCGTTGCGTTTGTTTACTGTAGAAATGAGTACTCACATATTGCATTTTTTAATGAGACAGAAAAATGCATATGCTCTGCAAAATAGTTAGTAAGTTTATGCAATGCACACATTACACATGTTTCCAAAATCTGTTCTCTTAGTGACCTTCCCATGATTCCATCACTATTGATGAAGTAGATTTTATCATCGCTGGTAGGGAATGACTCATCCAATCAGTCAGCTCAGTTTCCGATGAAACAGTTTGTGCTATGTTTGGGAATCAACAAAAATAATAATAATACGTGTACGACTAATGTTTTCGCTTGTTTTCGTTTCCGTCACAGTTTTAAATTATTTAGCACAACTTTGTTAACATTATTTAGAAAATCAGCTAAATGATTAATACGATGATGATGATTCCGACATTTTTAATTGATGAAGCCAATAGTAAATTCACGCACCTTCACGGATAAACAATTTTCAATTTAACAAAAAACTGTGTTGATCAAAGGGTTAAAGAAAATAAAACTTAAGAAAAGTTTAGTATATAGGCTGTCTCAGAATGTCTAAGCACGATTTTTAAAAACGTAACTCTGTTTACTGCAAATTCGATTTTTATTTCGTATTCATGTTGTCTATAGTATTCTCTTACAATTAAGCGTAGAAAATCCGAGATCCAATCAGTCGTATGTCATACTGAGGCAAATAGACTTAAGGATTTCATTTCAAACATTGCAATTTCAAAATCGTGACTTAGCGGCGCCGGTGGTGTAGTGGTAAGCGTGATTACCTCTCACCCCAGCAGGCCTGGGTTCAATCCCAGTCGGCGCCGCCGGGATGTTTTGAGGCATAACATCTCTGATCACGCCTTCCTTCGGAAGGGAAGTAAAGCCGTTGGTCCCCGGTTCATGAGTTGATGGGTCGATAGGTAGGGTCCCGGTGTGGGAGCTGCCTCTCTGGCGTCGGTAGCATTGGTGCTCAGCACGGAAAACAAGATCGACGAAAAACAAATCAAAGAGAAAAAAATAGCGTGACTTCTGAATGATTTTCGGGTAACATGAGGTAGCTGTTATACGCCTTTAACCATTTCATCTACCCAAGCGTTGAGTGGTCTACACACCGGCCTCGTAAGCTCAACGTCTATGGTTCGGTTCCAGTCTGCTCCATACACCAACTGCTCATTTGTTAATAACTTTTGACTCAGCTGTTGCAATTTGTTTTTCTTTAAAGTAATTGATAGATTAGGATCATAGTTTACTATATATATGCAAAGAGTAGGTAAATCTTAACATTTTTTTCCTCTGTTCGGACCTAACACTTCTGCGACCAGTAAATTGATCTATTGTAGTATATCCAGTGTCCTTAGTTTAGTGCATGTCGTATTACTCCATCACTATTGAGAAATGATGAAGTATTATTCCATTTTTTTTTACAGTTGCCACTCTTGCATTTATCGCAAGGATCCGACTCTAATTGAAAGGTCCCGCTATTTATACCCTTCGGAGTGTTGAAACACCCTCCAAAGGCGCGTCCCTTTGTCAGTCAAAATTGGATTCCTTAGCAATAAAATTAAGGTATGACACCGATAATGACCATGCATCAGAACCCTAGTCTTAACCACTTCAAACTAGGGAACAACGAATAGAAGATTGGGAATCACATAGATGAAGACAACTAACTCATTTTTTCCTTGTTTCAAGATCATCCTCGGTAGACAAAGCCGAGTCTTGTCACTATCAACAAGGCATAAAAAGTAACAAGGACTAAGATGTGTTCCTTGGATTACTGAAAAATCCTGTTCCCCTAGTTTGAAGTAGTCAGAAATCGGTGGTGGATCTTACGTCCCGTAACGTACCACGAAAAGGTGATCTACCCACGTTATCTTAATATTTGAATCAACACCAATGAATTTTTCACTTAAAGTCCGAGATGTGCAGCGAGAATTTGTAACTTCATTTTTACAACGCAAAAACAAATACAGTTTATTACTAGAATTACATTTTTTCAACTTATCTATATGAAGCTTATACCCCGTTCACATTACAGCGTATATCACGTGAAATACGCTGTCTTGCAACGAGCACTCATACACCTAGTTTTCACTGGAAATCCTATGTATGAGTGCTCATTGCAAGACAGCCTATATTACGTGATGTGTACGGGGTATTAAACTCTATTCTATTTAGTGCTTCAAAAAGAACTATGTTTTGTCAACTGTGTGTAAAGTTATTAGCAAATGAGCTGTTCGTGACCGAAACTGTGTATGTCGAACATGAGCTTGGAAAGCATTAAATAGGTTATTGTTACCATTCTATGATGAGCATATTATCACGAAGCTTTACAAAGCTCGGATGATGTGTTGAATAAGTCGGGATCGTGCGTGTCAAACCACATGGAGTCTATCATCAAGATCTTAACTCCAACCCATTTTGGAAAACTTGAGATCCTGAAATGATTTTTAATTAATAATGTTGACACATACTAACTAATACAAAATATGTCAAATAATGCAGAATAACAAAGAACATATTTTGGCCACCTCCTTGTATGGAGATTCCCCATGATTTAAACGTGATATGCCGCGAACTTAATCCAATAACGGCTTAGTGCTTGACTATAAGGTCATAGTGTATTCGGAAGAATGGTTTATTTTGAAGTTCCCCACATTATAGAAATAGTGAAAATGGCTCTAACTGTGGCCTACAGATTGGCCCCATTGATAAAAATCTCCTGTTCTTCAAGTTTTCGTTGAACAGAACGTTATCTGGATAATACAAATGGATAGATTTGGTTGCTAGTGAAACATTATCAAAAAATGCTTTGCTTCGAAATAAATATCCAGTATTAGGTACACTTATACCCCGTACAGACTACGGCTTATATCATGTAACATAGGATGTCTTGCAATGAGCACTCATGCATAGGATTTCCAGTGAAAACTAGATGACAGACAGCCTATATTACATGATATAAGCCATAGTCTGTACGTGGTATTAGGCCGACATTAGGGACAATATTTTAAACATATTATGGCATACTATGAAAAAATTTAAAAACAAACTTTATTGTTTGAGTGCAGTGTCTTCAGCAAACTTGTGGGGAACCTTATCACAATCAACTTTGCTCAAGATGTCAAATCGCCATACTTAATATTTCTTGAAATATTAGCATTATTTATTAATGGCAACAAGTTTTGTAGATCAAATAGTAATAATCATTGGAATAGGTACCACACCACACGTAATAAAGAAAACTCGATGTGAATATATTCAGAGGAAGATTGATCCGCATCCACCATAGGATAAATTTTAAATCTTCATTAAAAGCTAGTAATTGCAAGCCGCGGTCCATAACCTTCAATGGTACATTAGAACAGTCAGAACAATTAATTGCGTCTAAGTTTAATAATAGTCGATAGTTTTTTTTTTTTTTAATTTATTAATCAATCCTGTAAATGAAATAAAATAGCCGGTTAATATTAATTGTAAATATGAAGGTTTTCACCTAATTGCATTAAATGAACTCAGAAATATTTGCATTTAATTAGGAAAATCAGCTATAGTAGATAATGTTAATGTTAGAGTTATTCAATATTACTTTCATGTCATCGGAGATATCTAGCTGGTCCTTATCAAAAAATCATTGTCAATTAGGCACTTGCCACAGGTATGGAAGAAATTTTAAGTGGTTCATATATACAGATAGTTCTTCTTCTTCTTCTACTACTTCTTCTTCTTCTTCTTCTTCGCATTTCAAGCTTATTGCTTATCGCATATTAGCTTATTGCGTGCTCTTAAAATGTTATTAATTGAGAGCTTTCGATGTATATACCATTTTTGCATTAAGAACAAACATGCGCTTTGAAATAACGAGTACTGCATATAAATGGTTCGAAAGCTATGACAAAACTCACCGGACAGGGACGTGTTACAAAGTATAAAAGTCAGAAATTTCACATTCTTTAAAACATTTATTCTGCCCTATTCTGGGTCGCGTGGGTGTGGATATTTATATTAGTGTGGCGTGTAAGCGAGAGCTTACAGAACTATTAAGGGCCACCCACATTAGATCCGTTTGCGTTGCGTTGACGTTAATTTGACAGTTAGACAATAGATTTAGCTGTCACTTTGCCGCAACGCGTCCGATCCGGATCTAATGTGCGTGGGCCTTTAAGGTACTCACTGTTGCAGCAGAATCTACCGTGTGGCCGGACACTTGCGACGCGTCTGCAAACAGCGTTTCTTTGCTGGATTGGGAGAATGGAGGATTATCTTCAACCACGAACGGCCCAGCAGGCGTTGCTGGCTCGTTTGGCTGGCATGCGTCTTCCTTCTTTGGCACTATTGGCTGACCGTGGCTTGGCCACCTTTGTCGGCGGCCTGAGGGAATCGTCCATCAAGGGACGACTTGTTTTGGAAGCCATATTGATTTCCAAGCCGAGCTGTGTGAGACCGTATTTCAAAACAGTGGTACAACATGTACACGAGGTCCTGATGTAAGTGTAATATTTCCGTCAGGTTGGCAGACATTGATATTTTCAAAACTATTTACCTGAACAGAGACAGTCCAATGGCCCATCGCCCCACAAGGTGAAGGGGTGGGGATGATGATTTAATGACATTGTACTTTTAGATACCTCAGTCTTTACAAACGGACGCCTGATATTACTTCTGCCTCATCTTCTAAATCTAAGATGGCTATCCAAAATCCATTTTGACAATTCTCTTTTCAGCTACGTTTTTCTTCCCTTCAGTATTATAGTCGCTATATTTATAGCCTGGCGGATAGAATTTCGATCCAATAAAAAGCGGAACCAATTCAATATATTGCAGACCAACAAATGAAAAGGTACTATCAACTTTTAAAAACAAAACGTTGATTATTCTCCCCTCGCCAATCAAATGCCAATTACCAGCATTATCGGATAGGGGAAACTTTCCCCAACCTAAAGATGCAGTTAGTTTGCGTAGGCGAGCCTTGAGTCAGGAGAAAAGGGTTTCCGAAGTTTTGTTCGCAATAGCTGATGTGCTCTTTTCTGTTGTTGTTCGTGATTTTCTTGATTGGTTCCGCTATTTGTCAGCTCAATGGGTTCCCGAGATTCTATCCGCCAGACTATGAATATAGCGACTATATTCAGTATCGGTCGAGTGTTTTAGCAGCGGTACTAACACTCTCGCCACTGTGTGTTGCCTTCTGTATTAGTTATTAAAATATGTGAATTTTCCAAACAACAACAACAACTCATACAGACGAACATCCACGGATTGTAACCAGCTGGTTACAGCCAACCTAAGCTTCTTGAATTAGTGTTGTGCAAGGATTATTTGTAGAAAATAACTCAAGGTTGTCTAGACCACTTAATGTTTCACCCCTCATTTTACTGATATTTCTAATACTTAGGTGGTGTTTTTCATAACTCGGAGGATACCTAAAATATGGCATGTCAGGGCAAAATAGAAGAAAAATTGATCTAATGCTGGTCTATGGATCTAAAGATTGTTCTTAAATTTTTCTTAGAACATTGCGTCATCTGGACAAGACACATGGATATTTTTGGTTGCTAATAAAAGATTGGCAACAAATGCTTTCCTTCGAAATATATGTATGGGTTCAGCATTAGGGACATTAGGCCGACCTTATTTAAATTAAACCTATATACTTGACTTATACTCAGGAAACCATAAGAAAGTCAAACATGGTTAAATTTTCTCGTGCTTTATATTGTGAGGCAAGTACAACCCGGAAAATTCCTAGCCCGGACCGGGAATCGTACCCATCCGCCTTCAACATGGTCTTGTGCATTATAGCTGCGCCTTTATCGACTTCCCTTTGGCCATTTGACGCTATCTAGCTATTAAATTGGGAACTAAATAGGTGAGGGCTATAAATAAACAGCTTATGAACCTCAAACTTACACATTCTGTTGCAAAAGCTGTTCAAATTTTCAAATCGAGTTAGGATACCCGTCGGCGAACGAAACTGCTGGTTTAGCCAAACGGTACGACTTTGAACCCTAACAACGTGCTCGACACTCCACTGCATACAGGGGCGCATTTACCCTGAAATAATCGTTACCCACGGGTTCAGCCGCTGTCCAAACGGTAACGGTCGAAATTGCTAATCTACTTCCAGTATTGGGCCCTTGGCAGCCATGCTTTCAAACTCGGGATCGGGACTCCTCGTAAATACGATACACCGCTCCGCTCCTAACATAAAGTACAGACGTTCGGGTTGGCAAAGCATAGATCATATGATTCGAGGTCACTTGAGGTAGGAACTTGTGAGGACAAAGGCTATGTTCAATTTTCCAGGATGTCGATTAACCATTTTTTGATTCATCGGCATTGATTTGCTATAAATTCCAGTAAAAAATGAGTCAAATGACTCATTTGAAATGCGTAATTTTATAGCTGACTACATCAAACATTTCTTCGGTTTTCCGGCTTTGATGAGTCTATAAATTGCTATACCGACGAATCTGGAATTGACTCAACAGTGACTGGAACAGTAATAAATAGACTAAAAACGATCAAGTATAGTCAGATTGGTGCGTACACTACTAGATGAAACTCTAATTTACGTGTAGATTAATTACTTCAATAAAACGAAAATAATCGACGCGTGACACCGGATTTGGTCAGATATCATTCAGTCGATTACGCCGGTTAGCTGTGGAATTTCTCATCTGTCAAATTGTCTGTCGTGGGCTAGCTCAAACCGATTCAGTCGTGAGGAATATCGAAGGCATTTTTTTGTTGGGACCGAACAATAGAGCACATTTGCAATGATACCGAATTTTTCTATTTAAATCCTGATTTACCTTTTGCAGTTAAAAGTATGATATCTTAGTACGAAGTAAAGAAATCTTATGTAGCCTATGTAAAACATAAATTAAGAATACAATAAATACCCTTTCATTTAATTAAGTTTATGTTTGAAAAAATCATTTTCCCATTTTCCAGTGCGCATTTCCGCTGCATCATCACCGATAGAGTCACTGCCAAAGGGCTAGTTATTCCGGCATCAGCAACAACCAGTCAGAAACAGATTTCCGCCTACGAGAAACTAAAAACACTTACGTAAACACAGCCAACAGGTACGGGCTGTGGAGACGCCCGGTAATTGGTGTGACATCTTCCATGCCGCGTCCGCCACCGCCGCCGCAGCAGCAGCAGCCTCAGTAATTGTACTGATTTCACGATAAACGTTCCATCGAAAAACAGAAAGGTGAGTTACTCGGATGTTTCGTATGAGAATTTATTGATGGTATCACATGATTTTGTAAGAGTGTTCAAAGTTTTGAGAAAAAGCGAATAAGGGCGTGTCATCCCATTTGCGTGTACGGGGGATTTATTAGCACTTTCGAGCAAATGGGTTGACGCTCATGCAATTGTTAAAAAAAGAATAAAAAAAAGAGCTGTTTATTGCAAAAAAATAGTCTTATTGAGATCTTTCATGGAAACTGTATGTACGCCAAATGAGGTTTGCAAATACCCAGTTCAAATAAACATCATTAAGTTTCCATAGCGCTGCACCGTATTTTCATCATTGGAAATGGAACGGATCTCTTCGATTTTGAATACATCGCAATTAGCACAAGCCAAAGCCCATTTTGTTGTCAATTGGCATGGGTGCTAATAAGTTTATTTCGATTATCGTACTCTCTTCGTTCGCTTCACAAAAGTCCAACCACTAATTGCTCGGTAAACGCGAAGTCGGACAAGGGACAACAATATTGGAAGTTTCAGCCAGAATCTCAATAAACTGAGAAGCGTGACGACGCCTACACGCATCGTTTGTTCGCTGCGAGCTACAATGCTGTTAGGTGTTACCGAATCATGGCGGCGCCTCGGTTTACTACCTTGTTGGATTTGATTTGAGAATGGATTTTAAAGTGCGTTGGTTGCGATGAGTACGTTGGTATTTAGTGTAAGTTTGCGCCTAGTAAAATAAGAGTTCAAAACACGATCTGACGCATCCAGTGGGAGCAAGCTTCCTTACAGGGTTTTGTGAATCGATTGAATTAATTGCAAATGTTTTGAGTCATTGTTTGGTGTATCGTCGGAGAGACATCGAAGAGCGATTCTGAATTTATTCATTCATTTTATTTTAGACCATTGAATCATAGGTCACTCAGATCGACAGTGAATCTGAATCAGAATTGTTTGAAATATTGGTTGACTTATCTGTTGGTGGAGAAAATGGATGCACTGAGGTCAGCTTCAGTAATTGAATTAAAATTAAGGTTTAGGCACACAGTCTCTTCTAATGTGTTGCTGAATCGGGACTTCTAGGTTTCTAAATTTAAAACTCTATTTAGATCTACGCTTTTTTAAAAGCTCTTCCAAAATTTATGATTTGACTGAGAATTTGTAGATGCGACCAGAAGACTAAGGATTTCATCATATATATATAGGACAATGTACTCGCAGTTTTGTAAGCTTGAATTTCTCCAGAACCAATTATTGCCATCCATTCGATTCCCCGAGGTCCCCCTTAAGTTCTGACCACAAGCTGTGACCTGTTATTATAGTAAAGGGTGTCCACAGTTAAATTGCATCACTTTGAAAAAGCTGAACGAAGAATTTTTTTCAAGATGGAAAATCACGGACATAAAACTAAATTTAAATACGTCTAGGACTTAAAATTTCGATGGTGAAAAATAAGTGATTTAGGGATTAATGTTAAAGCTTTGGACCAATCGGGTATCGATTTCGAGCCAATTTGCTGTCAAATCCGTGCCTGTTTCTGATTGGTCAATTTGACAGTAGCAATCGGAGAATAAAAAGGACAGAGGGATCGCATCAATCGGGCTGGCAGTGATGCCATAATCAATGTTGACGTCAATGGCATTGTTGATTGTTTATATTTGAGAAAGGAAAGTTGAAAATTGAGTGCACTGCGTGTTTTAAGTGATGGATATTGGTGTTTGTTTATGGTTGTTTTTATTGTGTTGAGCAAAAATGATGAACAAGCTGCTAGACTGCAAAAGAAACTCCGAATACAATCTAAATTAAAAGAGAAAAAATATTTTACATTCCTGGCATCATTGGTCAACTCCGTCAAACACCACGCACAACTTTCCGAAGGGCATTCTTCGAGAACATTAAGAAGAGTGAGAAGCTCGATTGTCAAGTTCCGTCCCGGGACTAGCCTATTGGTCCCAACCAAATCGATTAACGTACCCCATTCTAGTCGAAATTCGAGTACTATACTATGTTTGTTTTGATTCGCTATGAAAGTTTGACAGATAAAATGAGGGGTTCGTGGATTTTCCTATGTTTGCAGGGGTGCATCGATTAGCTTGGGACCGAAGAGAGTACCAGAGCTGAGTCAAAAAGTTGAGCTCGTTTCTTCGGGACTTACTGGTCTTAGAGTTACCTCTATGGTATTACCATAGAGATAACTTTAAGACCAGAAGGTCCCGAAAAAACGAGCTTTACTTTTTGGTTCAGCTCTGGTACTATCTTCGGTCCCAAGCTAATCGATGGACCCCTCGAATCATAGGAAAATCCACGAACCCCTCATTTTATCTGTCAAACTTTCATAGCGAATCAAAACAAACATAGTTTAGTAATGGAATTTATACTAAAGGGTGTCCACGATGAAATTGCCAAACTATGAAATTGCTCTAACTTTTTAACCGTTGGGTAGAATTTAATGAAAATTTGGGTGGATTTAGTTCATTAGTTTATTTACATCCTGCAAGTTTTAAAGTCCTGTGATCAAAACTCGCGGAAATGGAGTCGAAAGAACAGCTCGTGCGTGATAAAATCTTGCGCATTCATCACGAGAACAAGGATCTCTCGCATCGTTCCATCGCTAAAACGTTGGGAATCGCGAATTCCACGGTGTCGCGAGTGATTAAGCGGTTCGAGGAACGGTTGACCACCGATCGGAAGCCCAGAAGTGAAGGAAAAAGTATTCCATACAACACCAAAAATCACAACCGCGTAGTTGGGGCCTTCAACCGAAATCCGAACGCCTCCGTTAGGGATGTGGCTAAGAAGCTGCACCTAAGCCGAAGTTTTGTCCAGAAGGCCAAAACTAAGGCTGGGCTTCGAACGTTCAAGGTACAAAAGGCCCCTAATCGCGACGAGAAGCAGAACAAGTCCGCCAAAACCCGTGCCAGGAAGTTGTACCTCAACATGCTGACGAAAGTTGAATGCTGCATCATGGACGACGAAACATATGTGAAGGCCGACTTCAAACAGATCCCCGGCAACCTGTTTTTCACGGCCAAGGATAAGTTCAGCGTTCCGGAGCATGTCCGCACTCAGAAGATGTCCAAATTTGCGAAGAAATTCCTGGTTTGGCAAGCCATCTGCACGTGCGGGAAGCGGAGTGCACCTTTCGTGACCCAGGACACGATGAACGGACAGGTGTACATAAAAGAGTGCCTCCAGATGCGGCTGCTTCCTCCCCTGAAGGCCCACAACGTCCCAACATTCTTCTGGCCGGATTTGGCCTCATGCCACTACTCCAAGGACGTGCTGAAGTGGTATGCGGACAATAAGGTCAATTTCGTGCCGAAAATGTTCAACCCTCCCAACACTCCGGAGCTCCGCCCCATCGAGAAGTACTGGGCGATTATGAAGCAGCACCTTCTTAAATGACCTAAGGTAGTGAAGACAGTCGAGGAACTGAAGAAAGTATGGGTTTACATGCAAAAAACGGTTGATTCACAGGTTGTGCAGAATCTTATGGCCGGGGTTAAGGCCAAGGTGCGGGCATTTGCGTATGGACTGTAAATACAATACGAGTAAAATGGTAAAATGAAGTTTAATAGTTATTTCTCAATCCCTGAAAATTTGATGGCAATCGGATGAAAACTCGAATTTTGCGAATCAATTTTGTGTGTGGCAATTTCATCGTGGACACCCTTTAGAATGGGGTACGTTAATCGATATGCTTGGGACCAATAGGCTAGTCAAGTAGTGAGCCAATTTAAAATCGTTAGTTTCGAATTGATTGTTGGTGTTACTGTTCTTATCTATCGTGAAACATTGTAAACTCATTAAAATTATCCATACTTTTTCAGAACGCATTCTTAATTTTAAGCTCATAGACAAAAACCATCAGGCTCAGTAATGAAAGTATAGAACCAACACCGAGACCAACACCGTTTTCATGACTCAGCTGGGTTTTGAATTTCAGTAAAACATACTTTGGCGAAACAAGTATGTACATAAGCTTTGATAGAGTCATGGGGGCCGAGCACTCCTAGCTCAGAGCTTTTGGTGGGAATCAACTGAGAAAGAGCAACACAGTTTAAAACTTGAGATAATTTTCAAGCAGTTTTCCATTGGCTTGCAAAATAAAATCGATCGACTCTGCAGTAGCCCAGGGGTGGGATGTGGCTGTCAAATACTGGTTCCAAACGTAAACAAGCCATAGGAAACCTACATGGTTTGTTTACGTTTGGAACCAATTTCATACAAGAATGATCAGTAGGCATGATTTGACAACACATTTCCATCCAGCAGTACCCAGCTTGAAATGGTTCAACTGGCGGTTCTAAAGGGTGTTACGATCAAAATTTGGTCAATCAAGAATGCGTGTAAATTAATTATTTTTTTTTAAACCAAATTTGTTTTTTTTTTTAATTCAATTTGTATAACATACAGAAACAATATTCAGCTAAGCTTCTGGTTGACCGAACCCCAATTTCCGAGCCTTTCGTTTAACTCCTACCATCATATTCTGTACAACCAGCTCATCCACTTGGTTCGCCGCAGAACTCGAGTTTGCCTATAACTACTTCTCGCTTCCAACTGTTTTTTAGTTGGGAGGGGTCGTATCCTTGGACATCACCTGTACGCTGTTGGCGACTTACCGCTGCATGGCAAAATTTTGATACGTTGTTCCTCTGGCTTGGACGCCATTTTGATAACTGAAGAGCAAATGCAAACCTATAAAAAGGGTGGTGTTCAGGTTTTTTAAATGCGCGATTAAAAAAAATCAGTCAAGTTTAAGTCGACCAAATTTTGATTGTAACACCCTTTCTAATCGAGAGTCTAGCTCTTTAGGCTTATCAAAGTGGATAAGTCTACTGAGATAGACTCTGTAGGGTCAAAATTTGGTCGACATAAACTTGACTGATTTTTTTTAATCGAGCATTTAAAAAACCTGAACACAGTTCTGTGTTTCACCATTAACCTTATCTTACCTTTTACCATTTCAGATGGGTAATTCATTATGCAAAGAACCCCGTGGGGGCAGTTCCATGCGCCCTGGAAGAGTATTCGACAGTTTTGGAAACATTGTAATGCAACAACTTCAACTACCTATCAACACCTAAACCCGTAAACTCAAACAATCATATCTTTCAGATGTGCCCCAATGGACTACGAAAGAACAAACATGGAATCAATAAGACATACCTGAGCCGTCACGTGTAAGATCTGAACGTTTCCACTAGAACCATACAACCAACTTACCCAATTTCCCCTCATTACCAGATTGGAGACCACGTCCAAAACAAACACCTTGAACAATTGGAACATCACTCCAAAAGACTCGCCGGATTCGGCCAAGGTAATTGACACACCTCCGGTGGCACCACCACGCAAAAAACGTACCACTCTGGAGCGCGAAACGTCCCCGGAAGCGATGCTTAAAGTGAAGAACGGTTTCAAAGACGTCTTTGGAGCGGAAAGCCGTCGTCAATCCTACGACATTGTGGCCAAACGCAAACCATCGGACACGGTTGACAGAGGCCTCCCGGCGATGGCTGCATCCAGCTTTGCAATCGATGTGAAGGATGAAGAGTTTAGTGACTTTTCCAAAGTGCCCACCAAGGCAGAGATGGATGCCCCGAAGGAGGACCCGACCCAGAACGGTTCAGCAAAGGTATCGCGGGTGGGTAACAAAAAATCCGACAAGTTCTTCGGTGAAAATCTGTCCGATGCGTTATCGGACGACCCGGTAGTGATCGAGAGAAGAAAAAGTGCTAAAAAGGAGTTGCCAGATTTGGATAAGATCGATCAGTTTATCGAGAAGCATGTATTGAATGTGGCGGCAAAGTCCGATGCTCAGGAGGTTCCTAAAATTCAAGTCACGGAACCGGATGCTAAGATAGAACACGAGAAGCCCATACCAGAGTCTTCCAAAGCGCAGAACCCGAAGGACATTTTAGACAAAGACGAACTAAATGAGAAGAATTTTATGAAATATTTAGATGAGTCAGTTGGAAACGGTACTAGTCTGGGTAAGAAAGCTGAATTTCTAATGGCCATGTTGGAAGACTACCCGAACAATCGATATCAAGGAATGACTCCTGTGGAAGAACCGGTTATCGTTCCACGGAAACGTAAGACTCGTCACATTTGTGATAAAGATGAACACATGCATAATGTGCTCCACAAACACGACCACGAGGTTGATTCGTCAAAGAACCTTATAACCACAGAAGCATCTATCGAGACTCCTCCACGAAAACCAGATCGAGACTTCAGTAGGTACTTAGCTCCCACGAACAACGACAATGATGACAGTGACGATTCCTGTTCATCCAGACCTATTCGGAAACGAAATACCTTGCAAACTCCACCATCACCACCATTCCGTCATAGAATGCCGAAAAGTCTTTCGGAAACGGAATTTCACGGAAACCTATCTGACACAACTACCAGCACTCCAAAGAAGCTTGACGCCCCGGTTGAAGTGAAGGCTCACTCTCCGAGAACACTGAAACGCATAATTTCGATGCCAACTTCAATTGGCATGGTGAAGACGGAAACTAGAACCCCAAGTCCCAGACCGGTCCTGCTGAAGAGCAGCAGCTCCAGTTCGTTCCTAATCATGGATCTTCATCAAGCTCATATGAAGGTCGTACCGTTTACTCCACAGGATCCATGCCATAATGCGGATGACCTTGTGAAGCCAAAATCACGTCTTGTTATGCGAAAAACATCTACCAAATCCAGCGATGGAGCTTCATGTACCGCGACGCCAACCCTGGAGTTACCCTCCCTAAAATTCACCATCGGTAGCAGTGAAGTCTTAAACAGCCCACCTGATGTAGAGCCACCACCACCCCCGGTTCCAAGACGACAGAAGTCTACCGGCGGAGACCAGGAGCTACCACTCTCGCGCGATCTCCTAGGTTACGATTTGGGCGGCTTCCTGGTATCATCGAATATACTCCAGCATCACGACATAACCCACGTACTCAACAGTGTAAACAACGATAAGAATAACGGTGATAGCCTCCTGAAAGAGTTCCAGGGCTTTCTGGAAGATCAGATTAATTCCGAACTGAACAATTCGAATCCGAAGTATCCCACCACAGTAAAACTGCTGAACAAGTTGGACAGATCATCGGAACCACCGGAAGACAAGCTAGAGGACATCAGCATCGATTTGGTTGAATCGGATAGTTCGAATAAGTCGTCCGATATGGACGATTGTTTCGATCCAGAGTTCGAGAAAATCGAAAAGACTGATGTGGAAGAATCACGGGACATTGATAGCTTACCAAGTAGCTCCGAGGCTGAATCCGTGGTCGAAGGGTCGGATCAGTTAGGTTCAATGATTGCCGTCAAGACCGGTGCTGCTCGAATGGGCCGTCGAGAAAGCATTGAAGATGTTGACAGTTGGTTCAAGAACCACATCCCATCCAACATGGCAGATGAACAAATTATAGGACTTCGCAAGCAGCGCAGAGGGTCGGATGGTTTCGCGTACGACACGACTCGGCAGTATCCATTCGGGGAGGTTCGGCGCCGTCATGATTCTCAATCGGCCGAAATGTTCGAGGACATTACCAAACTGCATGATCTGGGTAGCGAGGAGAAGGCGGACACGAAACCTCAGCATTCGACGGTGACGGATGATCGGATACGGAACCGCCGCGGATCGGATGGATTGGTTTTCTACGATACCAGTCGAAAGTTCCCATTCGGGGAGCCGAACGTCAATTTACCAAAGGCGATCGAGAAGGAGATGGCGAATCAGAAGAAAACGAACAACGAGTTGAAAGAATCGACAACAACGAACACTTCGTACGGTCAGAATGTAGAGAAGCAGAAAGTGAAGGAGCAGGAAGCAAGCACTGCAAGCTCGGACCATTCCACGTTATTGAAGTTTTTGTCTAAGGAAAATTTAATGGATTAGTGCGACTGGTTTCGGTAGGTAAGGTGGTTAAAATAGTCCCATTAATGAGTCAGTATTATTAATAGATTGTAGGCATAGCTGCATTATTATAACCAGCATATTTGTTATCCTTAGTCTGTAGGTTCATGCTGAAAATTAGTACACTTGCCATCAGAAAGTCTTGTCACAATCTAGAGTTACGATCCATACCCAAATACGTCGACTTTTTGCTGTAATCCGAAATTTCCTTTTTAATTCATCTCTTTCAGAGAAATGAACCAATTTATCAAGAAGTTTTGACGCGACTTTCAAATTACTATTTTTTTATGAAACGCATAAAATTTGGCTACTTTTCTCGTGGTTCTAAAAGAAAAAATCTCAAAATATTGTGTTATTTCGAAGTTCGAATTAAACGTAATTTTAACTTCTCGAATGGCTTGGTTAATTGCAGAACAAACTTCACACGGTCAATGAGAGTAACTCAAAATTGAGTCGAATCCAACTCAAAATTGAAAAAAAAATCCTCGATTCTCCTCAAAAATTGGCTCGAATATGCAGAAAATCGTTGAAAATTTTACTCAGTTTACGAGTACAGGTCGCATTCGATTATCCAGAGGCTTGAACAAATTCACTCCGGATAATCGGGCTATTTTTTTCGTTGCCGCTTATCAAACCCAGTTTAATAAAGGATGAAAATTAATTGCACTGGGCTTATGTGCACAATGTGGGAGCTGCCTCCTTGGCGTCGGTACTACGACAACGTGAGATGGAAATTGGTCGTTAATTAATGGCCGAAGCCCCCCACAGTTTTGAGTGCATCTATGAACACTAGGGTGTTTCATTTTGAAAAAAGTGATGAATTTTTGATAGGCCACCCTCCAGTTCGATTCATAGCCCCAAAATATGAACCTGTGCAAAAAATGGTAAAGATTGATGAAGGTTTAGAGGTCGCGCCAATGATTTGGATTTTGTATGGAGATTTTGGTGAATTAGTATGGGAAATTATTGATTTTCGTTTACATTGCTCTAACTTTGGTTGTAGTTGTCCAAACGTTGAAAAAAAAAAATATGTGGTTGTCATGACAATGATCAACAAGCCTGTTGTTGTTGCGATGAAATTGGCGTTGTTGCCTTGTACATATTCATCTGTCAATTTACCCTATTTTGCCATTTTTTCACATTTTTATAATTCTTGATACGCTGCAAAACTGAGCGTAGCAACTGTAGGCTTTTTGTTTATTGCCATAGCAATAACATACTAAATTTTTTCGACATTTGGACAAGTAGAAGCAAAGTTATAGCGATATAAGCGATTTTTTAAATTCTTCCATAGTAATTCCCATACAAATTTCAAATCATTGGCGCGACCTCTAAACCTTCATCAATCTTTACCAATTTTTGCACAGGTTCATATTTTGGGGCTATGAATCGAACTGGAGGGTGGCCCATCAGAAATTCATCACTTTTTTCAGAATGAAGCACCCTAATGAACACTCTAAGCGCTTATCTGGTGCATTGAAGCTACTCACATTGTTGAGTGGATCCATAAGCATTAGGTTGGGGTAACTTAACAACCCCCTGATCAAAGGGGCGACTATCTACGATGCAGTAAAGATTTTGTTTTGCTTTGGTTAGCTGCGTGCACGCTGAGTAGATAGAAAGAAGATTGATGATGCTTCAGAAGATTTCCTGCAAAAAGACGATGTGCGATGCAAATAGATCCCAGAAATGAAAGAAAATTATTCGTAACTTGATTCGCTAATGTGAGATTTTACGAGCATCTAGAATTGAGATTTAGATGTATCACAAGTAGAGACGGACCAGCCTAGGGACTCTGATGTCGACATCAAAGCAACCGGATATTCTTGGACGGGATATAATCCAAGGGTAATACCGATTTGAGCTTACCGCCATCAATGTTTGTTGGGGTATGCTAAGGTTTATTGGGTTTTTCCGTTTCTTCCGTCCAATTCTCGGGTTTTCCATGGGTTCTTTTCAAATTCCCGATTATTTCTCGGTTTACTCGGTACTGCTATAACATTTGTTGTAAGAAACGTATACAAATGATGGTAGAAATCCACTCTTACATTCGATGTTCATGCCATTTGTTTTGCGTGTAAAGATGGGTTATAAAAAATTTGATGATTTTGTATGTCGAGACAGGAATAGTTTGAAAACCCTGAAATTTAGAAAACATTTGAAATCTTGAAGTTGAAACAGTTATCTGAATTTAGTCATGGTTGGAGTTTACCAAATTTTCAAAATTCCAAAGTTACCGACAAATTTGAACGAATGTTGTGTGACCAAAGTAAAAATATTCATTTGTTCCGGGCTAAATGCGGGATATCGGGACAAAGTCTGAACAATCTTGGATTTTTTTTTATCATCCACAGATTTTTAAAAAATTTACCGAACTTTCCAAAATTACTAGGCAACTAAAAGTTTAATAAGTGTGAACTAAATCCGTCGTTTAATCCAGGACCAGATGGAGTTCCACCTAAATTGATATGCTGATTCAACCTAAATCGATATGCCGAAGTCAACTTGATAACACCGCTCCATCATCTATGTAGATATTTTGAATACCCATCTTGAAGGATATTTGCACATATGATTCCTGTTCATAAAAATGGAAACATAGCGGCGTCGGTGTGTAGTGTAGTAGTAAGCGTGATTGCCTCTCACCTTAAAAGGCCTGAGTTCAATCCCAGTCGGCGTCGCCGGGATTTTCTGAGGCATAAAATCTCTGATCACGCCTTCCTTCCGTTGGTCCCCGTTCCATGAGTTGATAGGTAGGGTTCAGGTGTGGGAGCTGCCTTCCTGGCGTCGGTAGCATAATAGACGCTACTTTTATCGGGCAAATCAGGGGTTGTGTCCTAGACACGACCGGAGTATGACGTAGAACTATTATACTTTTTTTCAGATATTCCAATGTTTCGGTTATGGTTCAAAACTCGCGACAATTCATGTTAGCATAATCAGACCACCGTTCATATTACGCATAAGATAATGTGTTTAAATTTAATGTAATGGTTAAGAATTGACAGAATTTTCCCTACATAACTACATTGGGTTGATCAATTTTGAGCTATTTTGCTGTGATCAATGTGCACTGAATTCGACATCGACTTCGACTACAATAGAAACTGATACTATTTTGTCACACATTTTTGTTTATTTGCACCTCAGTATAGTACACAAAAACACCATGCATGTTGTGGAATAAAACAATTCCCAAAAAATGAACATTTTTTTTCAGTAGCTCCATTATTAGTTTTAAATTAGGGCTCTGAAGCAGAGAAGAAAGTGAAGGTTGCATTTTATGATAACGCAACAGGCAGTTGTTTTCCCTATCAGAAGACGGTACTTTTAAAATTGAACAAAATGTTTGTTCATATGTCAGCGAAGTAGAGGAGGTTGGGGTAAAACAATCATACATACATTAAGCACCTCTTTGTTCTCCAATTTGTAGGACAATCCTAACATAAAATTATCATGCATCATAATTATGTACTTTACAGCGTGTTCGTAGAATGATGCAAAATTGAATACTGACCAATTCCACGCCAAATCGGTCAGTCACCAAACTTGACTATCTTCGATCTGAATGATACTTGGCACATATTTTCAGTATGATAGACCAAGTATTTTCCGCAGGAGAGGAGACCCTTTTGACTCAAGGGTAATTTTTGAAAAGGGCCTATGTGTTTTTGCACACATACTTTAAAAAAAAATGTAGTTCGAAAACAGTTGGTTGTAGAAAAAAATTTACTAAGAAGGATTTGTAGGAAACTAATAAGGCTTTATAAAAAAAATATACACGGAATTTTTTGTTCGTTTTTTTACAAAAAAAAATTAAAAATAAACCTCAAAATTCAAATAACAAAAAAAAAACGCATTTTTGATTTTTTTTATATTTTTTTTAATAAAAACTTGAATAGAAAGCAGAAGTTTTGAAAACAACTCCAGGATGGACAAACTTTTAATAAAAAAGTTTTTCTAAGAGCAACTTTTAAGGCATTTTTGAAACTTTCATTATTTACGGCAAAATGTTCAGTTTGATGTCAGTATATGAATATAAAAATCATTTCAAACGATAGTGCTCATATCGATAAACTTCCTAAATGTAACCGTTTTCAAGATATTTCAAATTTACTTTCATCATAATCAATTTTTTGTAGAAAATATGCCCTTTTCGTAAGTTATACGTGATTGTCCATCAAATATGATAAGTTTTGCAAGATACGCATGTACTTACCTTCAACTTACCCTTGCACCAATAGACTATTGGAAGATTGGTTTTAAACTTATAAGATAAATAAGATAAATAAATGAAATACCCATGCGTTTTTATTTGCATCTTACATTTATTACTTTTGATCGTCTTTAATAATAATAATTTGTACATAAACCTTTTCATTGAATATATTTTTATTTGATGAACTTTTGATTGGTATGTTTTTATATGTTATGAATTTTTAATTCTACCTGATTCTGAATAATAAATGTAAAAAGGAAGAATAGCAGCTTGTTGATTATTCCAGTAACTACTTTGGGCAGCATCTTGAAGAACAAATGAATAATTTTCGGAAAAATCACAAATTATGACAACTTCTCCATTTTTAAGAGTATTTTTTGTATTTCTCAAGAAACTAGACTGCTGAGTTTTAATATAATCATGGGATACCAGTTTTTCCAACTTTTCGCAAAAATAAGGAACAAATCCATCTACTGGTTTTACAAGTTTCTCTAAACTACATCGATCAGTTGAAACCCATTGTTCAAAACATATTTCAGACATACCCTGTTCCTCGAATTTTTCTGAAAAACTTCTTTCAAAATCTGAGAGACCTGGGCAACGTTCGCATTCGCGGAGGTAACAATGATGAGCTACATAATATTTCTTCAAAATAATGGTTGAAATCTTTTTCGAATGAATATTTTCTAAGACAATGAAGCATTAAATTAATATATTCATGGATGGTACAAACACACATATTGTGAGAACCTGAACTACCAAGTAATTTGCAATGCTTTGGTTTAAGTGCTGCAAATGAACTAAATCCAATGCTATTTTTACTAACTTCTTGAAATTTAATAAAAGCTTCTCGCAATGTACAAACTAAAAGTCGCTTTTGAATATGAATCTTCTTACCTTCCTTCTTCACTGAAACGTAATCGTTTAGTCCTGGCGTG